CACGTTAGGTAGGTCCTGCTTCCCAGTACTCTGAATTCTGATGGTCCCGCCCTACCCATCGCCACGGGAACCAAGCATGGTGCACCTCAGAGCCGAACAGGGGAGGCGTGAGGAGGCCATTGGGCAGCAGAGGGTGGGGGATGAGGTGGATTCACCTTTCAGTTACTGCTCCGGCGTGAGCTGCCTAGCTCCAGCCAGAGGGGGTGGACAGGGGAAGTCAGGGAGCCCACGGCTGGGGTGGAGGGACCTGACGGGCCAGGCTCTCACCTATGCAGACAATGTCCATAAAGCCGTACATGCCGTAGCAGATCTGGAAGAGCAGGTCCTGCCGCTGCCACTTGGCCGAGGGGCTGAGGGACGACCAGATGAGCCAGGAGATGCTGGCGATGAGGAAGAGGGAGCCCAGGATGATGGCTGCGATCTGCACCTTCTCGATGACGGTCAGGGAAATCGCCTGCCACTGCAAGGGAAGAAGGCGCAGCGACGGGTTACCGGATCGGGCGCGGGGTGGGGAGTTGGGGGATCAGAGTGGGCTGGGGACTGTGGGGTACGGAGACCCGAGTGGCTGGGCACACGATGTGTGGCAAGGGAATCATAGAGGCCAAAGGATCTGGTGTCTGGGGGGAAGGGGCTAGGGCCGCAGCGGGTTGGGGGGAGGGAATCACAGGGGCTAGGAGACCCGGGGAAGGGAAGCTGCTGCCAGTGCACCAGGATAAAGTTAAGTCAGGTCTGGTCTCTGCCGAATGGATTCTGAGGAATGTTTGGCTGTCGAGTGGATTCTGAGGAACGTTGGTACTGCCTGTAGGAGCCCATCAGGACGGGGGCGAGGGGGGAGCTCAGGGCTGGGAGAAGGGGGCTGCGGGTTGGGATTGAGGGGCACCGACAGAGCTGTGGGAGGGGAGCCAAGGGCTGGGATAGCCGGAGGTTGTCCATTGTCTAGGAGTGCAATGGCCCTGGATCAGTGTCAGGGCGTGTGCGTAGCTTGTGTGCACACGCGTGCGGGTCTGTGGGTCCGCGTCAGTGCGTGGGCGTGCCGGAGCGTGCGTGTGCCCATACGCCACCCGCTCACCTGCAGGGGGTTCTTTGTGCTGATGGCTAACACCTGGTATTTGAAGTAACACAGCTCACAGCTCCAAGAGCCCCTCTCGCTGATCCAGCGAATCAGGCAGGGCTGGTGCGTGCAGCGGACGGACCCGTCACACCGGCATGGGCTGAGCAGCTCCCCCTGCAAAGCAAACAGGCCCTGGGGTTAGGCGCTGGCGGTGGGCGGGGGGGACGCTGGGTAACACCAACCCTCCCCGCTCTGCGGCCACAGCGAACGCCTGGCGAGAGCCACGCTCCATTAGGCCGCTAACATTTAAACAGCAGTTTATTAGCCTCGTCTGCTTGATGCACTGACGGGGGGAGCAATTAGCATAAATATTTCATGCCTCCTGACAGGAAGCACTAACGACGCTTCACGGAGACACTGGGCCAGCAGAGCGCCGGCGAGTCCCCTCAGCAGGGGTCACAGGGGTCATCTCCCCCCCCAAAAAAAACAACACATAGCCATCGGTCAGTTTTTCAACCACAGGAAATTGGTGCTTAAATACCATGATGATAGATAGATAGATAGATAGATAGATAGATAGATAGAGGGGGTGTATGGGGATAGATAGATAGATAGATGGGGTGGATGAGGCTAGATAGATAGATAGATAGATAGATAGAAGGGGTGTATGGGGATAGATAGATAGATAGATGGGGTGGATGAGGCTAGATAGATAGATAGATAGATAGATAGATAGATAGATAGAGGGGATGTAGGGGGATAGATAGATAGATAGATAGAGGGGTTGTATGGGGATAGATAGATAGATAGACAGATAGATAGATAGAGCGGGTGTAGGGGGATAGATAGATAGATAGATAGATAGAGGGGGTGTATGGGGATAGATAGATAGATAGATAGATAGATAGAGGGGTTGTATGGAGATGGACAGATAGAAGGGGGCTGGATGGATGATGGTGTTGCCCCATCTCCGTGTATCCCTGAGTGGGTGCCCAGCGGGGGGATGGGTGAAGCCCCCACGATGACACTCCGAGTCCCATCAAGTTTTGCATAAAATCTTTGGTTTTTTCTAACTATCCCTTTTGGGTGCAAAATCCCGGCTGGACCCTCCTGTGGCATGATAGGGGGGAGGCCACGTGATGGTGCCCCCCCAGGAGCCCCACCCCAGCAGCAGGTCCATACACCGGACTGCAGATTGCTCCCCGCAGCGGGAGCTGCAGATGCTGGTCTGACGGTGGGACTGTCCCCAGCTGCGTGGGGCCGAGAGGAGCCCGGGCTGGCTGTGCCGGGGGCTGGGGACAATCCCCTCTTCCAAGGAGAGGCGACGACATTCTGCAGAGCGGAGAAGGGGGCTGAGATGCGAGGAAACCCCAGGGGCTTTGCTATGTGCTGGCGGCTGCCTTCAGAGATGGGGTCATTGTCCTAGGAAGCCTGGGCTATGCTCCGTGCTGGGCCGGGGGGATCCCTTCCCGTCACGGGAGGGGGAGGCTGGGGCGGCTGTTTGGCTGTTCGGAGATGCAACAGCGTTACAGAGCATCTCTGTTCAGGGCAGCTGGGTGATCGGAGCTGGGCTCCCCACGCACAGCTCGGCTGATGGTCCTCGGTCCCGACCCACAGCCCCCCCGCCCCCCCCGCCCGCCCCCCCGCCCCCTCTCCCTCCCGACCACACCCCCCTGCCATCGCCCCTCAATCCTGCCCCGCAGCCCCCTGCCATCCCAGCCCTGCCCCCCAGCTCTGCCATTGCCCCTTAATCCCGACCCGCAGCCCCCCTGTCCCCCCGCAGCTCTGCCAATGCTCCTCAGTCCCGACCCGCAGCCCCTGGTATCCCAGCCCCGCCTCTGGCCCTGTTCTGGAATCCCGTCCCCTCGGCAGTGCTGATCCAGCGCCCCGACTCCGTCACCTCCCCTTCGCCGGGGGACTTTGGCATGGTAATGACCATCACTTGGCTTTTCCTTCCCGTGCTCCCCGCTCAGCAGCTGGTCACAGACAGACCCCGATCGCAGCTCCCCGGCGTCCCTGCTGCCCTCGCCCCCCTCCCTCTCCCTTAATTAGCGTCTGTGCTATTCTGCCTGATCAGCAGACAGTGCGGGGCTCTCCAGGAGGCTCCCCTCCCCCAGCCTCTCTACCCACGGCTTTGGCCTCCCTCCCCTGCACCAGAGAACCCAGCCCAGGGCACACTGGGGGGCACGGGTGTGATGGGTAATGGGTGGCGCCCGTTGCGAAGGGCCCCGCAGCACAACTGACCGGAGTCCTGGAGCAGAGACAGAGCAGGCCGGGCGCCCCGAAGTGCTGGCACCCTTCCCCGATGGGGGAGGATAATCTAGGGACATGCAGTCTCCTCCCCAGGGGAAACCCAGATCTGGCAGGACTGGAGCCAGACTCCAGCCCCCTGCACCCAGCTGGGCCCCCCCACCCAGCTGGGCCCCCCCACCGAAGTACCTGGGGCGCTGCATTCACCATGGCACGGCGCAGGCTGCGCCAACCCGGCAGAGCCCAGGCCGCAGAAGTGGGGGACAGACCCACAGACAGTAGCTGACCCAGAGGGGCCTTGGTCACTATCACAGCTAAAGAGGGATCACCGGCCCCCCAGAGCCCAGGAAGAAAAACCCAAACCCCAGGACTGGCAGCAGGGCTGGGGTAGTTACATGGGATGTCCTGGATGGCGGTGTGTGTGTGTGTGTGTGTGTGTGTGTTCCTGCCAGGACCCCCGCCGGGGTCCTCTCCCCGCCGGCCCTGTGCCACGAGGCAGAGGCCGCACATACGCCAAGCTCGTCTGGTTACCGCACGGCGGATCGCGCTCTGCCAGTTTCACGGCTGGCTGACCCCACACTGGTGCACGCGTCCCGCCCGCCACCCTGGCTGGCTGCACAGACTGACCTAGCCAGGGCAGGGGGTTCTGAGCCGTCTCCCCACTGGGCTGGCCCACACCAGCCCCTGGCAGAGATCACCGGGGCCTGCTCTGGCTCCCCAAATGCCCCATCTGGCGTAAAAGTCTCCCGGGCCCTTTCTCCCCAGCAGGCCCAGGGGCATTTACTCCTGTCATCCAAGGAGCACCTCCTGCCATACCTGTGTGATCCCACCCAGACTCCAGCTGGGGGTTTACCCAGGCCGGGCAGGCTGGAGAGCGGTGCCCATGGCTGCACCGACCAACGTCTGCTTCAGAGGCTGGACTCTTGGCGCCGCCCAAAGGCCTTCACGAGGGTGGCTGGTGCCCGAGCTGGCCTGAGGGCTCTGCTCACGCGCACTGCACCACAGCCCCTGGCATAGGGGGCGGCTTGGGGGCCATGGCTAGAGCGCATTGCACTCTGGGTATTCTTGGCTCCATGGGGCCAGGGGAAGCAGAACACAAATTAGAGCGGTCTTTAGGCTGCTCTAACTTGCAGCAAGGGCAGGGCTGGGCCTGAATATGGAGATACAGAGAGGGAGGGCTCTGGTGCCACAGGTAGCTTTTGAAAGGCATTTTTTAGGCCTAATGGTCATTTATTTTTGCTCACAATGGTCCAGGCAAGCTGCCCTCTTTCAAGATGGCCACCCCCGCTCTTGGTTCCCAGCCCTCCACAGCCCAGGCTACCCTGAGGGCCCCTGCGACTTCTGCTCCATGCAGAGCGATAGGAGACAGCAGCCATTTTGCAACAGGGCAGTTCTCGGGGGAGCTCGCAGGAGGGAAATAGCGTTTGCCCCTCGCTGCTGCAGGACAAATGAAAACCAAACGGCCAAGAGTTGCCAGCAGCCCCCAGAGAACAGAGCCTCAGATGGAGCCGGTGCCCCGGGAGCTTTAGCCCCATGGGGAGTTCGGACGGCCTGCGCCGGTCCATTGTTAAGGCCACATGGGACAAACAAAATGGTGCCACGCCCACTGCTCCATTTCTCACGGGCACTGTTCTTTAATGAACGCCCCCTCTGATCACCCATCCCGCTGCAGGTCTGGTCTGGGCTCGGGGGGATCCGGGGCCGGAGTCATCGGGTTCAGCACAGGGGCCAAGCCCGTTTTTAGCATGGAGCTCGGCTCGGTGCTCCGGACGGAACCGCCCCGGCACTGCCAGCACCTGAGGGCTAACCGTACGCCAGGGGAATCCCCCGGAGAACAATGGCGCATCCCCCCTCCACTCCATGGGAACAATGGAGAAACCCCCCCACACACACACACATACCTGAGAATGTGTCTGAGCAACCCCCCCAACCCCGGCCAGGATGGGGGCAAAGGCACCTCTAACTCGGGGCCGCTGGGCAGGGCCCCCTGGTACATGATGTCTGGAGACGGCGCACGGGGCAAACAGCCCAGCCCCCAGGGCAGGCAGGTGGGGCTGTGAGCTCTGGGAGTCCCAGATGCAGGATTGGGACAGCGACCCATCCCGGTCCCGCAGGGGCAGCCCCCGGCCACACAGCAAATCCCCCTCCTTTAATGCATAAATAACACACAGAGCCTAGCGTGATGGGTCCTAGGCCACGACTGGGGTTCCTAGGTGCTACCGTAATACACCTAATAAATAACGTACAGCACCTAATGCAGTGAGGTTCTGGGCCATGACTGAGAACCCCACTGCTCTGCCCCTCCGCTGAGCACCCCACAGCCCTCCTCCCCGCTGAGCACCCCTCTGCCCACCCCCTCCCGCACTGGTCCGCTCAGCTCTTACCACATGG